TTAGAGTTCAACTTCGGATCTGGGGCTATTGGGGGTCTTTATGGCATAAAGGTGCCAACTTTGTTGCCATAAACACCCCATGCATCTTGTAGACCTTCTTTTATGGCTTTTTGAGCCAAAGGCCCCATGCATGTACATCAAGCTTGAAGCTTTACGTATAAAATGGACCCTAGGAGGCCAGATCTATGGTTTTGACGCGTTAAGACCCATTATAATCGACTGTATAGTTTTGGACAAAGAGGGACTCGACGATTCACTTGGGTGACTCGAAGAGTCGGGACGTTTTTCCCCCCAAAACGTCTTCTGGAAATGGTTTTGATTGAGTGGAGGGAACACTCAGCCTACTAGGGGTTTGTCTTGGACCTGGAAATCATAGGACTCAGCGAGTGTATGAACAGACTCGGCGAGTCCAAAGCAATCTCCCAACTCATGAAGACAGACTCGACGAGTTGTTCATAGAACTCGGCGAGTCATAGACTGGACACATTCACATGATGAAGATGAACTCGACGAGTTCAAGGATGAACTCGGCGAGTCGGCTGAAGATGGTCCCGATGCTATGGTTGAAGGTGAACTCGTCGAGTTCTTGCTAGACTCGACGAGTAGAGTCGGGGGTTGTATCATTTTGAAAGAATAGGGACTCGAAGAGTTGGTGGACCAACTCGGCGAGTCAAGTCAACTGGATGTTGACTTTGACCAGGGTTTGACCTTGACTTTGACTTGGATTTGGATTGATCCTTGTAAGGGTTATGAGTATGCGATAGTAATCGGAAAAGGTCATTGTGTACGGATTGGGGAGTAGAGACGAGTCGATTCCCGTGCCGAGGACTGTGCAGATACTACACGACATCGAAGTGAGTTACCTTCCGGTAGCGGTGGGTCTACGGCCACAATGTCGGCCCACCAGTAGGAGTTGTATGTTAGATGATTGTCTTTATGATATTCATCTAGGTGTGCTACTACCGAGATGTTTATGTGCTAGTATGATATGTTTTATGTGGTAGTGGTAGTAGGAGGGGAATAGTCCCCAAGTTCGGTTGTTAGGATTGAGGGGTAGGTCGGACACCCCTGTATGTCTGACAGGGGTAGGTTGAGCACCCCCGTATGCTCAGCAGGGTATGTCGGGCACCCAGATATGCCTGACAATATGTTATTGTATGGTATGTGGTATGATGGGGGAACTCACTAAGCTTCGTGCTTACAATTTTCATTTTGGTTTCAGGTACCTCTTCAGCGAAGGGGAAGGAGCCGGCGCGGTAGCTGCACATCACATTCACACAGGATTCCGCATTTTGAGATCTATGGGATTGTACTCTGATTTTATTACTATTTTTATGACATGACTTGAGTCATGAGATTACGGTTTTATGAAATTATGTGACTCGATGATGTTTTCTTATAAATGTTTTCTAAATTATTATATCAAAATGATTTTTTTTTGTCTTGAAAATTTGGATGTTACATGAGGGGGTCAAATATATCGATTTTCATTATTTGGCAAAAGGAACAAATAAACTTCAACTATATAATCATACCATTTACAAATTAATCCATATATGGAATTACACTTTATAACATCCAGTTACAAATGCGTTGGATAAGCTAATACAACTGATAGCTTATTTTATTTCCTTATTTTTTATTAGTTCATTTTAATATTTTTAGCTCTTTTTATTAGTATTGCATTGTATATTCTTTATTTTTCTTTATCATGGATCGTATCGGGGAACTTTCTATTTTGCATGAGAAATTTTATAGGATTTTGGAGCTTGTTGCGAATTTGGATTAACTTGGAAATGGACTTTGTGGGCTTCCGAGGCATTATTGGGCTTTTCGGATCCATTAAAGGAGATTTGGGCTTAAAAAAGCTAAGGACTTGGATGAAGTGGGCTTGTGAAGATGGATCATGGATTGTTATTTTGGGCTTGGAGCATCCATATTTGAAGCTAAAAGATGATTTGTTAATTTGAATCATGTGGGATATGGAGGGGACCAAGGGAATCTTTGGTAGTGGGATGGTTAGTGGTGGAAAAATGATCCAATAGCATTCCAGAAGCACTTGTGCGGGTGGAATCTCCGTCGCACGGGTACCCGCGCAACTGCCCAGTTTTGGGCATTTTGGTCATTTGGCTTGCCATTACCTTGGGGGGTTGGATCTTTCAGCAATCACTTCGATTTTACACCATTGGAGACCAGAAGAAGGCGATTTTGGAGCTTGAGACTCATTTCTTTTCATCTTTCCAAGTTATTGGTAGTTTCTTTATGCAATTAGAGTTTTGTGATTGTTATTCTATTGCCATGAGTGGCTAATTTCTCTATTTTGGTTAGCCTTGGATAAAACCTTTGAATGTTTGTGGGTTTTTGAAGGATTCATGTTTATTTATCACTTATCTTATGTCTATGATTCTAGTTCATATTTCCTATGGTTGTTTAATGCTTTGAGCATGAGCTTGGTACTTGAATAAGCAATTGTTGGTTTATTTCTTTGGTTTAGCATTGAATCATTGAATTACTTAGAACAAGGGCTTTATGATGGTAGAAATCATCTCTAGCTTATGAATCATAACTCCTTTATGGATGTGTAAGCATTGACATCCTCTAGGAATTGGGGATTCCTTCATTCTTAAGGCTAATCAACTTATTGGGTTCAATTGCTTCAATTGGATCTTTGATTTTGATTAAGAAGGTGTGTTGTGGGCTTCCCCAACCTCCATACTACCTATGAGGAATCTTGGCATATCATGCTTCATGATTGCTATAACCAATTTGGGATGAATGATAAGCTTCATGTTGAATCCTAATGATAAACACACAAATGTTCATTGTGTTGAATTGTCTTGGTTAACCAATTCTCTCTAATATTTGAGCATCTCATCATCTTGCTTAATTGCAAGCTTTTTAGTTATTCAAGTCTTTTAGTTTTCAAGCAATCACAACACCCCCCCCCTTTTAGTTTAATTGTAGTTAGTTAGTTTATTTACACTAGTTCTATTGGATTTCATTGGTGATTGAATACAACCATTTCCCCGAGGATCGATACCCCTTTTTACCATTATATTACGTTTTATTTGAAAACAAATGGTGTAATTTGCTTAGTGGACTTGACATCCCACCAAGTTTTGGCGCCGTTGCCGGGGAAATTGGTTATTGTTATTTGATTGTTTATGCCTAGGTCTACAAGAACCGGTGAACTACTCTACAATCCGGAGATTGAAAAAGAAGCAAAAATGTTGAAAAAGTTAGCCAAACAAGCAAAGCAACAACAACTAGTTCAAGATTCTTCCTCTTCTCCACTAATCAACATAGAAGATCAAGTTCATACTTCAAGTGATACCGACACCGAGCCGAGTTCTCCAATTGTTGGTCATTCCTTTGAAGACATTCCGTTTGAAAAATACATAACCATGAATCACACTCCACCTCATAATCCCAACCCAAACCCAAGCAATCAAGATGCCAATACCCCACCCCAACAACCAAGACAACAACAAAACCAAGAACCTCTCCATAATCAAGATATCAAACCAACCCAATTATCAACCACCACAACCACAAAACCAAAACTTCCATCAACATAACCAACCTCAAAACATTGCTTTTCAAGTTCAACAACAACAAGCACATCAACCAAATCAACCTCATTACCCACAACCAATGTACAATCACCAACAATACCCATACCCACCTTACCAACAATACCCAATACCCATACCCACCTCATTACCAACAAGCACATCAACCAAATCAACCTCTAATTTACCAACAACCAATGTACCCCCAACAACAACCTCCCTACAACCAATACCCTAACTACCAACCTTATCCACCATAAATGTACAATCACCAACAATACCCATACCCACCTTACCAACAACATCCCAATTACATGCAACAATATCTCAATAACACCAATCCACCCAATCCCCCTCAAGAGTTGACACTTAGACAAATGATGGAGACATATGTTACTCACACACCTCTTGGTATTGTTTATCCCGCAAACCGTCGAGAAATTGAATTGAAGTCAAGTTTCATACATCAACTAACCAAGTTCCATGGTTTGGATAGAGAAGATCCTCAAAGGCATTTGAAGTCCTTTAATATGATACGTGTTAGCATGTTTCCCGAATATGTGACATTGGATGATTTCAAGTTAACCGCCTTCCCTCTCACCTTGGAAGATAAAGCTAGAGAGTGGTTATTCAACTTACCACCCGGATCTATTCACACATGGGAAGAGTTACTCACAACCTTCAATATCAAGTTCTATCCCACCTCCCAGATATCAAGTCAAAGAAGTGACATTTTGGGGATTCGTCAAGGGGAGAACGAGACTTTTCATGATTTTTGGGAGCGATTCAACAACTTGTGTACAAGTTGCTCAACACTACATACCCGAACAACTACTTCTTCAACAATTTTATGAGGGTATGAATGAAAAAGATTGAAGGATGATTGATGCTTCAAGTGGTGGTGACATCTTCAACAAGGCACCTCAAGAGATAAGATCACTTTTTGGAACCATTTCTCAAAATCAAAGGAACTTTGGGACTCGAAATGAAATGAAGAGAAATTCTCCGCAAGTGGTTGGTGAAGTTAGCAACACCCAACACTTGGAATCAAAGCTCTTGGATTTGACTAAGGTGTTAAGTCAAATGGTGGTAGGAAGTGGTCAACCATTAATGGTGTGTGGTATTTGTGCAATGACGGGGCATTATACGGATAAGTGTCCCACACTTGGTAGTGAGCAGGAGGATGTTAATGCCATGGGAGGATATCAAGATCAACCAAGACCCATGGGGTTTCAAAACAACTACAACCCAAATTTGAGGAATAACCCAACCAACCCCTACCCACCAAAGCAAAACCCACCACATGTTATGATGAGACCCCAATTTTCTCAATACCCATCACAAAAACCTCCATATCCCCAAACATCTCATCCCACTCCAAATTACCAACAACCTCCACAACAAGGCCAATCAAGTGGCAACCATCAAATGAGCCTTCAAGAACTCGTCACTTCTCTTGCTCAAAGCCAAACCCAATTTCGACAAGAGACTAAGAACACTTTCTCCAATATTCAAGCACAAATTGGAGACTTGGCCACCGCTCTCAACAAGATGGAACAAAGGGGTAAACTTCCTTCTCAAACCAAGAAGAACCTCAATGTGAGTGAAATAACCTTGAGAAGTGGGAAAACACTTGGAGAAATCAACCCTAAAAGAGTTTCAAGGGAAGAAGAAGATGAAGTTATTATTGTTGAACCTCCGAAAGTTGTAGCTACTCCAAAGGACCCCATTGTGCCAAACATTGATCAACCCGAATCTTCCAACAAGAACATCAAGCCATTGGTCATACCACCACCTTTTCCCTCCCGGTTGGCTTCCTCAAAGAAACAAGAAGAAGAGAAAGAGTTTCTTGAGACTTTCCGCAAGGTCCAAATCAACATTCCACTATTGGATGCCATAAAGCAAATTCCACGCTATGCCAAGTTTATTAAGGATTTGTGCACCAAATAAGAGGAAATTTAAGGCAAATGAAAAGATTCAAGTTAATGCAAATGTGTCCGCGGTCATCCAAAAGAAGTTACCACCCAAATGCAAGGACCCAGGAATATTTGCTATCCCTTGCACTATCGGTGATTTGCATGTTGAAAGTGTCATGCTAGATCTTGGAGCCTCGATCAATGTGATGCCATACTCGGTTTTTCAATCTCTCAATGTTGGACCTTTGGAAGAAACTGGAGTAATCATTCAATTAGCGGACAAGTCAAGTGTATTTCCAAGAGGCGTGTTGGAGGATGTACTAGTGCAAGTCAATCAACTAGTATTTCCCGCGGACTTCTATGTCATTGACCTCGAAGAGAAGACTCCTTCCAAGTCATCTATGATTCTTCTTGGAAGACCCTTCATGAATACCGCTCACACGATTATTAATGTTCATGATGGGAAGATCACCATGGAGTTTGATGGAGAGACCATTCACTTCAACATCTTTGAAGCAATGAGATACCCTAGCAACATTTCTCCATTGTATCGAGTTGATGTGATTAAGCCAATCACCCAAGAACTATTCAAGTTATCACATGGATGCATTTTGAAAATGGTGCTCAACATGAGTCTCGATTGTGAGAGTTTGAAGAAAACATTGGATACGTATACATTGGACCCCGAAGTTGAAGAGATTGTGAAGACTTTAGAAGTTAACAATTCCACAAAGAAGGATGTTTCTCAAGTTGCCCTATCTCATTCTCCAAACAAGATGCCCCATTCCATAATCCAACCACCCACACTTGAATTAAAAGTCTTACCTAGCCATTTGAAGTATGCGTATCTCAGTCAAGACGAAACTCTCCCGGTGATCATATCTTCTCAATTGAAAGAATTTGAAGAAAACCAATTAGTTGAAGTTTTGAAAGATCATAAAGAGCCCATGGGGTAGACAATAGCGGACATCAAGGGGATAAGTCCTAATGTATTCACTCACAAGATCCTCATGGAAGACGGTTGTAAGCCTAGGAGGGAAGCTCAAAGACGATTAAATCCCCTTATGATGGACATTGTCAAGAAAGAGATAATCAAGATCCTTGATGCGGACATGATCTACCCCATTTCTGACTCCCAATGGTTTAGTCCGGTTCAAGTGGTTCCCAAGAAAACGGGAATCACGGTTATTGAGAATAACAAAGGCGTCATGGTCCTTACTCGAGTTCCAAATGGATAGAGGGTGTGCATTGATTATCGGAAGTTGAATTCAAGCACACGAAAAGACCATTTTCCTCTTCCTTTCATAGACCAAATGCTCGAAAGGTTGGCGGGCAAATCGCATTATTGTTGCCTCGATGGATACTCGGGTTTTCACCAAATACCCGTTGCCCCCGAAGATCAAGACAAGACGACTTTTACATGCCCCTTTGGCACATTTGCCTACAAGCGGATGCCATTTGGATTATGCAATGCCCCCGCCACATTCCAACGATGCATGGTGAGAATCTTCTCCGAATATGTTCATAATATAATTGATGTGTTCATGGATGATTTCACCGTGTATGGCAATTCGTTTGATGAATGCTTGGATAACCTTAAGAAGATTTTGAAACGGTGCATTGAGAAGAAGTTGGTGTTAAACTTTGAGAAATTATACTTCATGGTCAATCAAGGCATCCTCTTGGGACACATCATCTCCAAAAAGGAAATTGAAGTTGATAAAGCCAAAATTGATGTCATACAATGTGATAGAGAAGTAAGATCTTTCTTGGGCCATGCGGGATTCTAGAGAAGATTTATCAAAGATTTCTCGAAGATCACGCGACCGATGTGCCTCCTTCTCCAAAAGGACGTTGATTTTGACTTCAATGTAGCATGTCAAGAGGCCTTTGACAAACTTAAAGACTTGCTCACCTCCGCTCCAATAATCCAACCTCCAAATTGGGAGCTTCCTTTTGAAATTATGTGTGATGCGAGCAATTCCATTGGAGCGGTTTTAGGTCAAAAGGAGGGCAAAGCATCACATGTTATCTACTATGCCTCCAAAACCTTGGATAATGCTCAAGCCAATTATTTCACCACCGAGAAGGAACTTCTAGCCATTGTTTTCGCCTTGGAGAAATTCCGGCAATACCTTATCGGAACGAAAGTGATTGTATACTCCGACCATGCGGCCTTGAAGTATCTCATGACCAAGAAAGATTCCAAGCCATGGTTAATTAGGTGGATTCTTCTTTTACAAGAATTCGATCTTGAGATAAAGGACAAAAGTGGTCCCGAAAATCTAGTCGCAGATCATTTAAGCCGGTTGAATATTGGTGGTTCTTCTTCTTCTATTCTTGATGAATATCCGGACGAACACCTCTTCTACATTTCAAACACCATTCCTTGGTATGCGGATATTGTAAATTACTTGGTTACTAAAGAAATTCCACACGCATTTACCAAGTACCAAAAGGCAAAGTTGAACAGTGATTCCAAATACTATGTATGGGACGACCCTTATCTTTGGAAACATTGTCCGGATCAACTAATACAGAGGTGTGTTCATCAAAATGAGGTCGAATCAATTTTGAAGTTTTGCCATGAGTATGCATGCGGATGACATTTTGGTCAAAACAAAACCATGCGAAAGGTGCTAGAATGTGGACTCTTTTGGCCAACAATGTCAAGAGATACCTATCTATTTTGCAAGAGTTGTGATAGATGTCAAAGAATGGGAACCGTATCCATGAGGCATGAGATGATTCAAAGCCCTATGCTCATTTGTGGGATCTTTGATGTATGGGGAATCGACTTCATGGGCCCATTCCCCGTCTCCTTCGGCTATACTTATATACTCTTGGCAGTTGATTACGTCTCAAAGTGGGTGGAAGCAAAGGCTACAAGGCATGATGATTCTAAAACCGTAATTGACTTCTTGAAGTCAAATATTTTTGCAAGATATGGTGTACCGAAAGCCTTGGTGAGTGATAGGGGAACTCATTTTTACAACAAAATGATGGAAGCCATGATGAAAAGATATGGTGTCACACACCGGATATCAACCGCTTACCATCCACAAACAAACGGCCAAGCCAAAGTGTCAAATAGAGAAGTCAAACAAATTCTTGAAAATCCGGTCAACACCACACGAAAAGATTGGAGCTTGAAGTTAGAATATGCATTGTGGGCGTATCGGACCGCCTACAAAACTCCAATTGGTATGTCTCCATTCCGCCTCGTCTATGGAAATTCTTGTCATTTACTGGTGGAATTGGAACATAAGGCATATTGGGTGGTTAAAGAGTGTAATTTCAATCTTGAAGAAACCGGGAAGCAGCGTAAGATGCAACTTCAAGAAATCGAAGAGTTGAGGAACGAGTCTTATGAAAACGAAAGCATCTACAAAAACAAGGCAAAAGCGTTTCATGACAAGCACATCGCTCGAAAACATTTTATTCCGGGCCAAAAAGTTCTTCTTTATCATTCACGCTTAAAGCTATTCCCGGGAAAGTTGCGATCTCGATGGCACGGACCTTTTATCGTTATAAAAATGTTTGATCATGGTGCGGTTGAAATTAAGAGTTTGGAAACGAATCAAATATTCAAAGTAAATGGGCACCGTTTGAAACCATTTTATGAAGGCTTTGACACGGGAGAATTCGATAACGTAACATTGGAAACTCCGATTTACGAAGGTTGACAGAAGCGGGGCTATCTGTTGGCAAAGACGTTAAATAAATGCATAATAAAAAAAAGGTTATGCGGGTGCCCGCGCAAGCGTTGCGCGACACAGACCCAGCCGCGCAATTTCCAAACTCCAAATTACCCCCACATGGTGTTGCATCTGATTAGTGCACGCGGCCAGCCTCCACCCTCGCAGCTCCTCGTGCGGCCAAGAACAAAATTTCATAAACCTTGCGCGACCAGCCCATAATACCCATACCCGAACCGCCCCACCCAATAACCCGCTCCAACTTCATTCATACCCGGACCCGATCCACTATCCTACCCGTACCGGACCCATTTACGACCCACCCTTATAACCCCTTCCACCTATCGGATCCACCTTCTAACCCTTGTGCCTCCCGTCAACAACCCCCTTTATTCATCCCGAAGAACTTACGCTCCCACCAGCGACCAACCTCCATACCGCCGCTTCCGACCAGCCACCGACGACGACTTCCGCTGCCACCGCCTCCAGTCAGAGCCACCCGCCACGACCTCGCCGCCGCTTGTCGCCGGTCGCCGAAACCCTTCTTTCCAGCCGACAGCCACCATCTTTTTACCCCCCCCCCCTCGTCGCCGGAAAAACTCAAATCACCACCACAGCCTCCCTCACTTGCTGGTACCACCGGTGCGCCCCACTACCCTACTTCCCTACTAATTCCGACCACACAGCACCAATCCTCCACTGGGAACAGCTAGCTCCGCCGCCACCCTCTAACTCGCTGGAAAATCGAAAAAACCTTCATTCCACCACCACCTTCCATCAAAATTAAAAATTTCTTGGGGCATTCTTCACCAAATACTTCCGGGAACACCGATCTATAGTACATTTGGGCAGATTTAACTCGTCGGAACCCTAGCTCTGCCGCTGGCCACCGCCCGTCGCCGCCGCCGGCCGCTGCCACTACTTTTCACCAAAATTTTCAAATTTTTGTTTCTCACCGGAGACTCACAAGATTCAACCTTGCGGTTCCAATTCAAGCTTGGGGTGCGGTTTTAGCGGTTTTCTTTTCGGGTTTCGACACTCGAATTTGGTACATTCCTTTTAATATAATTGCATTCAATTTCTAATTTTCACAAGACTTATGATATGCATTAGATTAATTAGAATTAGTTTGCTTTGAATTGATTGGATTGCATTGCATTGAATTTTGCCAAATTGCAAGTTTGGAGTATTTTCTCGGTTTTTATTTTTATTTTGTTGAATTGATTGGATTGGTGTGAGGCGAGTGTGAGGGATAATTTTGGCCAAGTTTTTATCTCTACTAGGTTCTCCTTACAGGTACAATGGGAAAGAACAAAACCATTCATGCGACTCATGGTTCTTCCCCTGAAGGTCAATCATCACAATCAACCAAAACAATGTCCACCGACCATGTCGATCGTAATGGTAACCTTGCCCTCACTAGTGCACAAATCAAGAAATTCAAGTCCAACCTCCAAAAGTGTGCGATCCGAGCCATAAAATTTTACCACCAGGATTCGATGATCAACCTTGGCCTTGACGATTTCTTGCAACAACTGTTCTTCAACATATGTTGGCAAGATTTCCTAGATCTCTCCGCGCGCACATACGCAGAGCCCACACTTGAGTTCCTCTCCACTTATGCATGGAATGACACAGACGAGGTGCTCACATTTATACTCCAGGATCGACAACACCGCCTCACATACAACACCCTCTACACTATCGTGGGCACATACGATATGAACAACACCGAAATCTATAGTTATCAATGGACTCAATTCAAGAGCAGGCCCAAAGTAGAGTTTTGGACTCAGATCACCAGTCTTCCAAACTTCAATCCAAGTCGACAAAAAGATCCTTACATCATCCACCCTTGTTGGGGAATCGCTCACCGGATCCTTTCAACTTCGATCTTTGGTCGTCACGAGCCGGGACAAATCAACACAGTCGAGCTATATTTCGTCTATTGCATGACTAGAAACCGTTGGTCATGCCCCGGTTTCGCCACCTTTTTCTTGGATAAATGTGACAGCATCCGCAAGAAGACCACTGGCGACATTTGCATTGGAGGTCTCATTACCCTAATTGGTTTGGGTGTGGGCCTTCAATTTCCCGAGTCCGAGTATGTGCCAGTGGATGACCCACCTCTCCACCTCCTCGACTGCTTCGCTCTCACCCGAATAGAATTATTGGCACCTATCAACAATCGTCAGTACTCTTGGCTCAATCATGCCAAGGAATCAGTTTACACCTTACCTAATATCAGCATATCCGCCTTTACCACCAGCGACCCCGAAACCTGGTTCTTGCCCGAAGAGTTACACGATGATGATGCCGTAGATGATGATGACATGCAGGTAGACACTGGCTATGCTGGTAGCCCATTTGAGGCCGAAGACCATTATGACCTCCCAATCCGACAATTGCCGCCACCCTATTATGCTCAGCCTTCGGGAGCACACTACGGGCCACACCATGAGTACCAGTCCTATCAACAACGCAACGAGCCCGAACCCGAGTATCATCTTGATATATATGCTCAGCTTGCTGCCTTGCGCCTCCAGGGCAACCGAAACACAACAGCCATTCGGCACATCGAGGAGCAGCAAGCTCGCACCAACAACTACATGGAGGATCTTTGGCATCATTTTCAGCCCGAAGGCGGTTACCGTCCTCGCGGGCCTCCTACACCTTGATCCCGGTATGATCCTTCCTTACTCTCATCCTAAGCATTGAGGACAATGCTTCATTTTAAGCTTGGGGTGAGGTATTCTTATAATTTATTTATTTTATTGCATTTAGGTTGTATATAGTTGTGTTTAGAGTAAGTCATTTAGGTCATTCATAAAAATTTCATAAAAATTTCAAAAATATTGCATATTTTGTTTCTTTCTTTTCTAATTTTCATACTTTTTAGATGCATTCTAGTTTAAGTTTCATGTATTTTTGTTCTCTCTTGTCTTCTCATCCCTACAGGTACCATAGCGCCGAGTCATAAGTATTGAATCATAGATTGGTCCCGGGTCTTGATATGGAATTCCTTGTATTGGATAAATGGGACACGTTTTGAGCCTCACAGACCACTTTGAGACCGCTTGTGTGGGGTTCAGATGCAGGTAGCTTGATTGGGTCTAGGTGTGGAGGGATGTGGTTGGTCAAACCGATGTGTACGAGCGAAGATTATCCCGGTAAGGTATTTTGAAGACATTGAAGACTCGCATCTTGGTTTGGGAGGGAATACCCCTTAGTATTCCCGAGTCTCGTCTGAGCCTTACTTAGTTAGATTCTCACCACCTTTTTAAGATAGGTCATCATTTTTTCTAGAGGTCTAGAATAGATAGTTAGATAGATTTTGTTTATCACACCTTGCATTGAGGTGCTTGATGAACTTTGAAGTGGGTCCCCTAATTCACGTCTTTTGGGACCAAGTTTTTTCGGTAACACCCATTTTTGAGTCATATCCCACCCTTTTTAGTTGATCTTGGCACATTGTCAATAATGATCATTAGGTGTTCATGTTAGCCTCCATCCTATGTTACATGGTGAAATTCCTTAGACCTTCCAAGAAGAAAACACAAAAAAATGAAGAAATTGAAAAAGTGAAAGAAAAACAATGAAGAAAAAGAGCAACACAAAAAGAAGAACAATAATCCAAGTTCAAGACTATCTTATGTTAAAAAAAAGATTGAGCTACAAAGAGACTGAAGACCAAATAACAGAAGTTCAAGATTGAAGATTTAAGTTGTTAGGTTTAAGTTTAGGTTAAGTAGAAATTTCTTATTTTATTTTTGATTTTGGTGAGAAAAGGCTATGACGATGAGACGGTAAACTGTAAAGGACTGTACAAGGGAGAAGCCTCTGAAACCGGATGTTTGCCCGGAGGCCGAGCTGTAAAACCCTATTTCGTACTATACACTTTAGCCTGAAAAATGTAGGAATCATCGTGTGTGAAGAGGCACCTTTCCTTCGTGCACTATGGTCTACATTAGTGATTTAAATTGCCCCCACTGGGCCCATCCTCTGTTTCCTTTGTCTTGCACACTGCGACTACATCCAGCCGTGATCTATTCTCCCATCAAGTGGTTGAGAATGTGGTTTATGGTTCTAAAGCGGGAAACATTTTCAAGATGTGTAGGGTCCATGAAAGACTGATTCTGACCATGTTGACTGATGTTGACCAAGTTCTATGGTATCTTTCTTTTTCCTTTTTAGTTTAGCAAATTGCGAGCTCATTTTAGTCTTGTTCTAACTTGAGCACAAGTTAGGTTTAAGCTTGGGGTGATTACAACATATTCACAAACTATGACTTATATATCTCGTTTTTAAGAATAGAAGATATTATTGTCTTAGAGTTACACTTGATTCAATCGATAAAATAATCTCTAAGTGTGGATTTAACCAATACTCAAAATCCCCATTTCCTAAGTACTCGTGAACATTTCAGAAATCCCTATGTAATGTCCAATCCCTATGGACAATCTACAAATATTCAATGACAATCTTAAATTAATGGCTACTCCCAAAGCATGACCGAGTGTGGTATTTCGAATAAATTAGTATCAAGGAAGTAAAACATGCAAAGTGAAACATAAGAATAAATCAATTGACTAATGGTATAACACACTTTGAACATTAATAAATCTCTATTATTTAATCACCGTTTAATTATAGTTTATTATCGTTACATTGTTTCAAAAACTATCAACTAACTACCAATCTAAAAATTAGTATCATCTCTTAGCCAAATGCTTCAAGAATGCTCGAAGTGCTTAATCATGCTTCAAACTTATGTCTGATATAATGGTATTTCCTTTCGATGTGCCTTGATCTACCATGATCCTTTGGTTCTTTGGTCAAATCAACCCTACCTTCGTTTTCGCATATTATCTTCTTGGGCTCTTGGATTGATGGACAACTTCAAGATCTCCAATGAAATTCTTTAACCATGTTGCTTCCTTCGCCTCCTTGCTTGTTGCGATGTACTCTAAGGTGTTGTTTGTTTTTTGGAAAAAACCTCTTCAAACCTCTTATTGCTGCGCGGCGCAGCACACGCGCAACACTTTTCATTTCGCAGCTGTTTGCTTTTTAGAAGTCTTCGGAGTCAAAAACCTCTGCGTGCTCTGTTTGGCGCAGCACTTGTACTGCCTCTTCCAACCTCTTCTTCTTCTTTTTTTCTTGCTCTAATTTTGATTATATGTTGTTGAAGTTTTATTTCACCTTTTTTTTTCGTTTTTTTTTTGTTTATTCTTGTTGAATTTTTTTTCGTTTTTTTATATTCAATAATGATAATTTCTTAATGAAATATCATTATTTTTTACTAAAATATCTTTATTTTTTGTTGAAATATCATTATTTTTTATTGAGATATCATTAATTTTTGTCGAAATGTTATACATTATTAAATTTTACGTATTAAAAACTATTTTTGGTTTATAAAATTAGTTTATTTTAATTTTTTAATATCTGCAGCAGTATGCAGATGTTAAAAAAACAAACACGCTTCTTATTACACTATGCAGCCGTTTGGTCCACCTCTTCTACTGCAGATGGTTGCAGAGGTGGTCCGCAGACTTCATTAAATTTTGCTTCAGAAAATCAAACAACACCTAATTCACAAGTAGAATCAGCCATTGTCTTTTGCTTGGAACTCTTCCAAGTTACCGCTCAACCATTCAATAGAAATACCCAGCCATGTTGTGAATAGCTATTATCCCGATCTATTTGAAAAATGGCATCACTATAATCACTCACCTTAGTTCACATTTTTCCACCAAAAACTAAGATCATATATTTTGTTTTTCGCAAATAATTACGAATGTTTTTCACTGATGTCCAATGCGTTGTGCCAATATTTCACTGATATCTGCTAACCATGCTCAAATCATAAGCCAGAGTAAGATAGTCCTTCAAACCATTCAACTCAACCCCAAAAACCTACATCAAACAAGAACAAAGAAAGGTCAATTTGAAAGTTATAAGTCTATGACATCTCAACAAAGCAGTCTACTTAGTACCAAGTACCTCCTCGAATGAAAATTCTCACACAAGACAACAATCAACCCAAAGGAAATCTTTTAGAGTAACACTTAATACATAAATGCAAAATAGATAATTAGAAACATACCTACAGTCTACACAGTCGCCACACCCGGATCCTCTAGAACAGGCTGGTAGGCTCTTCCTTCAGTCCTAGGCACCTCAGCCCTCCCCTAACGTTCATCTGGCATTTGCCAAGTTAAAGGTTTAGGGTTCTACACTTCACCGAAAATGATAAGGGGACAATGGGCTCTAATGTGGCCATACTGGTCGCAATGGAAACAAACTCACGCACTTTGCTTGTAATCCATGTAAAAATGTCACTCCTTGCCACACTTGCGACATGTAAAATATCGACACACTCTGTCATGAAAGTTCCCACATTTACCACACCTGAAACTCATATTCTCTATTGCTCGTGATCTTGCGTCAACGGACTTGAACCGCGTGGCCGCTGGTTGCGATTAAACTAAAACCGACATTTCCTCTGCCTTCTAAGTCTCTATCTTAATATCTCTCTTCCTGGCATTCGACTACAACTTATCTAAGGTCTGGTACTAGGTGTTCGCCACTAACTCTCTAATATTAGTCATGGTCATACTCAAGTAACGGGTCATCTGCACCTACTCTGAGGATTCATACTCATGGCAAAATAAGGCCCTCTCATAAAACATATTGGTGATCTCGGTCACTGACTCTGTCGTCTGGTTAACCAACAGATACTCATGTGTCAGTCACTCTCTCTCCATATGTGGGATATACTCGACCCAGAACATCTCTAAAAACTACTCCCAAGTCATTACGGCTTGCTCTGCATGCGAAAAGGTCTAAGTCGCAAACTTCCACCAATCATTCACTTCCGAACAAAGAAGGTTCAATGTAAACCTCACTTTCAGGATATCAGGGAACGAACATGTGTAGAAACATCCCTCTACATCAAATATCCATTTCAATACGATTGCCCGGTCCTTGTCCCCGATGAACTCCAGATGATTCATACTACTGAACTATCGGTATTGTATCATCCCACCTCTTTGAAGTCCTGCAGGAATGACAATTATAATGGTTACAACAGCACCAACCTGCATGACGACGACATAGCATCCGTCAAACTGCTCAATCAGCATGGTCTTGACAGACCGAAACAACTCCAGAATTTCCTCTTTGATCGCCACGTCTACCTCAGCAATAGTGATCCCTCAGTTCTCCTCATCACTCGGACTTGCCCTCTCTGGGTAACCAACATCTGGTCCTGAACCTCTGATAGTCACTATACTGAAAATACACAACGAAAAAGGTCAAACATCAAGACATAACGTTCAATCATGTTATGCCTTCACTTATTCGTTCCTTAGTAGCCTTGAGAATCATTATGATTATCATACGAATCCTATGCTTTCAGTAGTACGAGCTCATACTACCTTCTAAACCTATCCGTAGTCGACACAAACGTCATCTCAAGGTTCTAATTCAATACACTAGACCACTCCTAGGTGTACTAACACCCACATGCTCCTAGGAGTCGTAACTAACTTCCTAGGCGCTCCTCCTAGGATTTTCCCCAATCATGTTTATGCACCGTTGGTTGCCTTCTACATGAAAGTTGTATACAATGCAGGATGACCTAGACTGTCAAATAGATGACTCTACTCTAAGAGCA